TTCCAAATTACTAGCTGAAAAGATTGTGTGTGCCAGCATTCCTGGTAAAGTACTTCAGAGTACGGTTATTATGCAAAGACCAACCTAAGACTGAACATGTGAAGCCAAAGACCGACCTAAGACTGAACATGTGAAGCCAATATCCTCATTAATGAGCTCCTGGAAGAAGAACCTTTTCCCAATTGGCCTATTTGTCTTTCAAATAAAGTTGATCATCTGGTCTTCAAATCAATAGGTTTATTTGGTCAAATGTAACTAAATTACATGCTTTTTCCATCCCCAAGCCCTCTAGGCCACAAAGCATACTTCTGTTTCAGTGGACATCATCTTGCAGGACAAATCTAGTCCTGCTTAGAGAGAAGGTAAAAAGCCAATCACGGAGAGCAGAACTATTTTGAGTACAGATTTTATTGGTTATCTAGGCAAAAGAAAACTGGACATGAATAGAAAGGAAATGACAGCTCCTGGTGAGAAATCAAGGACTCGGTGTGAAGGGCGACTCAGTCAGGAGAAACAGGAAGCTACCCAGTAACATAGACATTCTAAGGGAAGGTAGAAAGCAGAGGAAATGGGGGTGAAAAAGAAGATGCTCAGTATGCAAATTTCAGTATCATCCTGGGGAGATAATCTTTCTTTGCCTATAAGTCTTAGGAAGAGGAAGAACAGATGCTGTAGTCCATGAATTGGCACAAACGTCAGCACTACCATGCAGCCTCTAGTGCCCCCTAACCTGACAGCCTGCTGCAAAGCTCATCCCTGTCTGACCCCTGATAGGAGAGCAGTGGTGAAGCTGCCCCAGATTCTGTGCTCCAGGTGGAGAAGGCCTCAAGAAGGTGAAGGGATGAGCTAATCTGAGCTTCATGGCCCCATTTTCAAGGATGTGATTAGTGGAGAGGCACCTGGGACCTGCTCCATTTCAGGAAACCCGGTTATGGGAACTAGTGGGGGACAGACTTTGCTCAGGACCCGTGAGAAACAGTTAACCCTTTTCTATTGTTCATATGGGAAACAGCCTCTCTCTCTTTATTATTATTATTATTTTTTAGTTGTTACTGGACCTTTATTTTATTTATTTATATGTGGTGCTGAGAATCGAACCCAGTGCCTCACACATGCTAGGCAAGGTCTCTGCCACTGAGCCACAACCCCAGCCCCAACAGCTGCTCTTAATAGTTGCTAGATTCTTTCCCAGGGGATAAAGTCCTCAAGTGGACTTCCTTTTACATTACCCTGATAAGGGGACCTCAAGGACATTTTCCATCGTCAATTTCTTTAGGTCATTTGGATACTCTGGGAGAACCTAAGGATAACAAATGAGGGCTGGGGCTATAGCTCAGTTGATAGAGTGCTTGTCTTGCATGCACAAGGCCATGGGTTCAATCCCCAGAACCAAAAAAAAAAAAAAATTAAGAAGCATCTAGGAATGATATACACAGAGAGGGTACAAGTAAGAAAGGGAAAGACAGCTCAACAGTCCTTAAAATGTCACTGTTCATCTAAGGGCATGGCCTTTGATGGCCTGGTTCCATTCAAACCCTTGCTTTTGAGTCAGAATCTCTTCTGGCCAGCCAGGGAATTTCTTCTGAGAATAAACAATATCCAAAATGGACATGAAACAGCAGTCCAATTCCTAAGGTGGGTAGAGGAATGGAAACAGAGCCTATGTTACCCAGCCTAAGAACTGGGCAGAACTGGCCCCCTGAAGACACTGCTAGTAAGATCCTGAAGGCCAGAGTTGGAAATACTCAGTGATATGCAAAGGCTCCTTTGTTGACTAAAGTGACAATGACCTTGGGCAGGTTTTTAAAATTCTCTGGACCTCACATTTCTTTTATCTATTAGAGAGAATCGATCATCTCGATTCTCTTCTGACCATAACATTCTACTGTGTTGAGGATGGGGTCTGAGTATAAATGCCTTTTTGTTGTTGTTGTTTTGTTTTTATACCAAGGATTGAACCCAAGGGTGCTTAACCACTGAGCAACATTTCCAGTGTGTTTTCTTTCTCATATATATACATATCTGGTTTTTATTTTATTTTATTTTTGATCAATTGTCCCATCGTAAGAACTGGGTCTTCTTCTTCTTCTTCTTTTTTTTTAAGAGAGAGAGAGAGAGAGAATTTTTTAATATTTTTATTTTTAGTTTTCGGCAGACACAACATCTTTGTTTGTATGTGGTGCTGAGGATCAAACCCGGGCCGCACGCATGCCAGGCAAGCGCGCTACCGCTTGAGCCACATCCCAGCCCATATCTGGTTTTTAAAATTAATTTTGAAACAAGGTCTTTCTAAGTTGCTTAGGGCCTCACTAAAATGCTAAGGCTGACTTTGAACTCATGATCCTCCTGCCTCAGCTTCCTTGAGCTGCTGGGATTACAGGCATGCACTATATCATGCAGAGCAGAACTCTACATTTTTAAAACCATTTTTAACATGGGCACAGTGGTACATGCCTATAATCCCAGGAGCTCAGGAGGCTGAGGCAGGGGGATTGTGAATTCAAAGCAAGCCTCAGCAACTTAGTGAGGCCCTAAGAAACTTAGCAAGATCCTGTCTCAAAAAAAAAAAAAAAAAAAAAAGCTGGGGATATAGCTCAGTGGTTAAGCCCCCTAGGTTCAATTTCCCATTCCCCCAAAAAAGTAGTAATAATAATAATGTAGAGTCCAAGTTGTCAAATACACTGATTTTTTTTTTTTTTTACTGTTACTAGGGATTGAATCCAGAGGTACTATACTACTGAGCTACATCCCCAGTTCTTTTTTATTTTTTTTACTTTGAGAGAAGTTCTCATTAAGTTTCTGAGGCTGATCTTAAACTTGCAATTTTCCTGCCTCAGATTTCCAAGTCATGAGATTATAGGCATGTTCCACCACACCTGGATGTCCAGTCTTTGTGGGAGATAAGGGAACCTGAGTTCATCCACTCCTGAGCTTTTGCATAGAAGGATTGGAGTCTGGTGGTCATGTTAATGTTGCTCCCAAGCAACTAGGCAGGTCACATCTAAGTGGAAGACACACGAGTAGTTGTGGGGAAGTGGAAAGAGGAGCTAAGAGATTGTTTTGTCTCAGATTTTGGCTCTGACATTTACAAACTGAGTGTCATACAATCTCTTCTTGGAACCTCATTTTCATCATTTATGAGACAACAACACCTCTCTTACAGGGGAGGATTACTGAAGAGAAATAAGAAAAATTGAAGAGTGCTTATCAGAGTCAATGCTCACCAGATGTCAAGCCTGCTTCAAACCTTGCCTGACTACAAGGGTAAATCTATAGAAGTCCTGATGATAGGCCCTAATATTAAAGGCTTCCTTCACCCCTTCTGCCTTTATGCAGTGGGGAGGGCGCTGTGTCCCTGGCTACATTTGTTAGGCCTTCTCTGTCTCTAGGATGGTATTGGGTGTTTCCCTTGTATCTTCATCCCTGAGGCTCATTCCAAGGACCAGGGCTGGAAGCCAGGAGGCTAGCTCACCTGAAGTGCTTTGCCACTGGCACCCTTCCTCCACCCTTCCCTCCCAATGCCAGTCTCAAGGTGGAGCATTTTTGCTGAGCTGACACTGTGGGAACTATTTTAAAAAGCCATTCTCAGTTACCTTGGTTTCTCAACCCATCAAAAAGTGAAGCTAACAATTATCTTACAAAGTGGTTGTGGGACTGAAACAATCCATGTGAGGAACCAGTGGTGGCCAGCAAGTTAATTCCCTTCTCCTTGGCAACTCCTTTTCCAAAAGGGGACAAGAGAGAAAGAGTGAAAGGGAGAGGACTCCAGTGATCCGCAAGTGCCAAGCTCTTATTGAATCTGATGGTTATGAGGAATTGTCCAGAAATAAAAGCCACCTTCCTTCAATAGGTCTAACTCTTGAGTACCCGAGATGGGGAGGAGGGGCAACAGTGCTGGGCAGACTGGAGAAGGGCATGATTCAGGTGTCAATAGACATGTTCTCTGCAGTAGCACCAAGGTTGTGTACTGGGGAGGCATTTTGCCAGCTCCTTAGCCGGTTCTGTCCGATCCTAGCTTCTTGGAGCTGGAGTGGAAGAATTTTCCCCGAAGGAAAGCAGCCAACACCCCGTCCCACCCTTCTCCTTGGGCAACTCTTTGCCAGGCAGAAATCTCATCAGCGTTTTCTTTTGGCTGCCCACGGAACAAGCTGCGAGATCACTGGCAGTTACGGGCTTTAGCGCCTTAGCTATGCCCCTTCCCGCCTGAGTCCCGGAGTCCAGCAGCTGGAGCCTCTAGGACCACCTTCCTTCTTTCCAGCTGGGAACACCCGCAGAAAACCCTTTGCTGAGCTGTGGTCAGCCCTACATTTAGTGCAGTTAACGTAGGGGAAGAGCCTGGTGGGGCGGGGCAGGCCGGGTCCCCTGGAATTGGCTGGGGAGAGGCTTGGACAGGTGCCAGATAAAATATAGGGCGCCCTGAAATTCAGTTTTGAATTTCAGATTAACGAATAATTTTTTAGTCTTTGTCCTAAATATTGCACGAGACTAGTAAACGGATTTAAAAAAATAATTGTTCATCCGAAGCTAAGTCTAACTGGCCGTTCGGTTTTCCTTCGCTAGATCTGGGAACCGGAGGAGACTAGCCGGGGGCAGCAGGCGAGGCCATCTGGGGGTCCGGAGCCAGCTAGGGTCCCGGCCCAGGCGCCCGCGGCTTCTCCCTGTAGAGGAAAGCTTCCGAGCGCCGTGAAAAAGGCTGAGGGCTGCGTCTCTGAGGCACCGTGGGAAAGTCTTTACGGGAGGAGTCGCGGCCTGCCTGTCTCCCGCCCGCCCGCCCCGGGCCGGGGCCGCTGTCCGCCCACCTGCCTCTGCGGCTCCGCTAGGCTCCTCCAGGCCGGGGTCGGGCGGCGCTGAGTGCGCAAGCGCGCCGGGCAGGGGCGGGACTTGCGAGCGCGCGGGCGGGAAGAGACGGGCTCGCGCGGCCGGGCGTGGGCGCCTGGGAGGTCGAAGCTCCAGCAGAGCCGGAGGCCGGGGCCGCATGTGGGCATCTCACGGCTGAGCTCCGCTGTTGTTCCCCTTCGGGAATGGAGGGGACGGCCTCGGCCGTCTGCGAGGTGATGCCGGGGAGGGAGATAAAACACAGAAAGCCACTTTCTGAGGAAAGGTTCTTTGTGAAGACGCTACGAAGTTTGGGCAGGAGGGCCGGCGTTGCCCGAGGTGGAGGAGGAAGATTCAGGGATGCTAGGAATGGGTGAAAGTCGGCGGCGCAGGGCGGAGACAGCGGGGCAGGGAGCACAGGGGTCGCGCCCGGGCTGCTCTGGTTGGGGGGTCTGGCTGCACGTGAGGAACAGGACCCTGGAGCTCCCCGGACACCGAGTACACCGGGTTCAGCGCACGCGCGCTGGGAGGGGCTGAGGCGGGGCGAGGGAGCAGGAGCCGTGGAGTGACAGCTCCGGAGGCCTCACGCGGCTCTGGAGGAGCTAGTGCAGCGCCCTCCACGTGGCCGACTGGGACAGCCATCGCCCAAGGCGAGGCTTAGCGGGTGTCCTGTTAGGCGTCTGGGGGCAGGTGAAATAGCCTGGCAGCCTCCGAGCGCTGCTGAGAGGGGCCTGGGCCACCTGCCTTGTTCCCGTTAGCGGAACCCAGAGCTTTCACATTCACAGATGGTAGAACCTGGTAGAACCTAGGCTGTGCAATTTCCCAGCTGCTTGCCTTGTGGATGAAGATTCAAGAAATCTGAACAGAGGGAGCACAGGAAGTCAGAGGGTGTGCGAGGAAGGTGTGGGAAATGCTTGGAAACCCTCTTCTTCGCTAACTCTGGCACAAATTAGCATCTTAGTTCCCAAGTTCTCTTACTCAGATCTCCCTGCCTTTAAAAAAAGGGGGAAAGGGTAATAATTCTTGTGCTGCCTTAGTGTTGAAACGAGAGTCTACTTTTCATGAATAATAATGGAATTAAATATATTTTATTTTAATGTGTCATCGAGATTAAATGTTTTATTCAGACATATTGGAGTTCCATTCAACTTAAAATATTGTGTGCAGTGTTGTGTTTTGTTGTTTACTACAGTGCCGGTGGAGCAATCCACGGCCTTGCACAAGCCAGTTAAGCACTACCACTGAGCTACAACTCCAGCCCTTGTCCTCATTTTTATAGATGAGGAATTGAATTCAGAGAGGTTAAGTAACTTTCCCAGGGCTACATTCTGGAATTTGGCGCATCAGAGATTCAACCCCAGACATTTTTGCCTCTCTTAAATAATATTTTAACTCTCAAAAATGTTAATTTAATGAAAAATAAAGATGATTCATAATCAGGTGTCACTCATTTTCATAGTCTTTATGTTGGCTTATTTGGGGAGGAAAAAAGAAAATTCCCACCTAATTTTTCTTTCCAGATGTACTTATCTAAATACTGCAGTTTATTTCTTCAGTTTCCTATCTTGTTGGGCACTGCATTGAATTTCACTGTTTTCATTCTTAAGTTGCTCTGCTCTGAACAATGCAAATCTAACACTTCACAAGAAGGAATGCAATATTTAGGGGGAATTAGTTATTAATTTGTCATACAAATTTATTATTACCATAATTTTAAAAGAATACTTTGTTTTCTTTGCATTATATTCTTCAGATTTTGAGATACTTAATAATTTACTGGAAATGTGAAACAGGACAATCAAAGGAAGCATTGCTAGAAGGGCAGCTAATGATTTCCATAGAAGCAATTAATTCCAAGCACCAGCCAAATGCTCTTCATTGTGTAACAACTAGTAAGTAAAAGAAGAAAAATTAATGATTTTCTATTTTTTGTTTGATCATGATTTATGTCATAGTTTATGTAAAAAGTTAAGGTAGTCATAATCTTTTATCATGTAGTTAAAATAACCAAAGTAAGGCTGGGTGCAGTGGTGCCTGCTTATAATCTCTGCTACTCCAGTGGTTGCTGTAGGAGAATGGCAAGTTTCAGGCCTGTGTGGGCAATTTAGTGGAACCTGTCTCAAAAAATAAAAGGGTCTGGGGTGTACCTCAATGATAGAACACCCTTCTGTTCAATCCCCAGTACCATAAACAAACTCCAAATGATTATGTAATAGTATCTGGTGATAGATTCTCAAGTGTGTCATATAGGAAAGGTGAACAGAATGACTCATAGCACAAGATTATTTATTTTACTGGCTTAAAGTAAAATTGCTAAGAAATAATTTTACTTTGCCTTTTTTTCTTTTTTATTATAACATTCATTTTACATATTCATGGGTTTCTCTGTGATATTTCCATACATGCATGTATGTTCAAATATATTCTCCAGTACACTGTCTTGCCCTCCCTTCTCCCCTTCTTCTCAGTCAGTTGTCCTCTTTTACATTGCTTTTGGTCCTTTTTAGTTGCTTTTGGTTTTAACCTGCTCGTTCACAGCAATATTGAATTTTGCCTACTTTTTCTTTCCAAGACAGGCAGTTGCAAAAGAAGTAAAACAATAAAGGAAAGGGAAAAGAAATGATGGATAGCATAATCCTGAACTGTAGTTTAGTTTGAAAATATCCTTTCCACTTGGTCTTTTTCTTTCATCATTTTTGCCTTTTGTTTTTAAATTTGAGAGAGAGAGAAAGCTGATACATTTTGATCGGCTTTGAAATAAATTTTCTTGAATCTATGAAGTGCTAGCTTTTTTGCCTGTGTGTGTGTGTGTGTGTGGGGGGTTATTGAAGGATACTTTGTAATGAAGTTGTCCCATCAGCCTTAGAGTGTCACTTGGAGATCAGTTCAGATTGGATAGTACACTGGACTCTAAGATATTTGTATACCTAAACAGGAACAACCTCTCTTCTCCTTGTGTACTTAGTGTTAAACACCCTTAAGAGTGTGATGAATTGGTTTGCTGTTACTCTGAATGAACTCCCTAGGATTGGGTAATTTCCCCTATTCATGAGAGAAATGCTTAACTAACTGGTTAGGGTGACGATTGGTCTGTAAATGGTTGAATTAGTTTGTGTAGGGTTGATTTCACTCAAAATAGGACTTGAGCCACAATAATTGTTAAGAAACTGAATTCCATAGGCATTTTGAGCCTAATGGACTTCATAAGGCTGTCTAACATAGAGGACTTTTTTCTTTATTGTCTTTGATCTTTATGCAATTATGTTTATAATTTTTTTTGGCAGAAAAAAGTTGGTACTTGATGTAAAACATTACAATACAGAAGCATATTGTGGACAGTGAGACTTCTTATTGAATCACTCAAAATAATTATTAACTAACATTCAGTATATATTCCATATTTTTCTGTACATATATTCATAGTTACCAGTTTTTTTTTAAAAAAGGACCGTGCCATGTGCTTTTCAGTAACAATACTTTTCAGGCAGAGTTCCACGTCATTGTTTTTTTTTTTTAATCCACATTGTTTTTTTGAGAAAGATATATATGCTATGTAGTTTTAGGTTTTGTCAAAGTTATATATGTGCATGGTTTTAAAAGTTAAAAGATTTGGGGCCAGGGTTGTGGCTCAGTGCTAGAGCGCTCTCCTGGTATGTGCAAGGCCCTGGGTTCAATCCTCTGCACCACATATAAATAAAGGTACTGTGTACAACTACAACTAAAAAATAAATAAATATTTAAAAAAGTTAAAAGATTCAATGAAACTTTTTACAAGACCTGTAATTCCCTGCATGCTTATACTTTTCTTCTCCTAGAGACTAATAGTTTCGACTCTTAGCTGATTATTTCAGTATTTACAGGTTTATAAACATGTTTGTGTAGCTGTATATGGATTTTCCTTTTTTGAGGTGTGATTTATTGTCTTCCCACTATAGAATATGGTAGCTCTCTTTCATATCTCCAGTTCTAATACTGCTAGGATTACAGGCGTGGGCCGCCATGCCTGTGTTTTTTTCTTATTAATTTTCCCACCAGAAATGAACATCAATATTTTTTCATTATTATGACCATAAAATGCCATTCACATAGTCATCTAGAAAAGTGATTCTTTTCTTTAAATTCTATCTTTCATTAATTGTTTAGTTTTCTGTACTTTTATCATGTAGGCAACCCCCAAACTTCCAGCTTTTATCTAAATCTACTATCAACTATGTTCCAACACATCAGGTAGCCTGTCAGTTTCTTCCTTATGAAAAACTCTGTACTAGAATTTTCTGACCTGTTCTAATCTTGACTTGATACCTGCTGATTCTGGCAAATAATGTCTTAGGATCTTCCATTCATTGTTATTCAGGATGTTTCTTCAGTTTTTCTCTTGTGTTGGATTTTGTGGTTCCTGAATCCTATTATCTTCATTTTTCTTTTCTTCTTTACTTGCTTTGATGGCTCTCGGACTCTAGTAGCTTCTGAGAAAGTGTTGGGGAGGTAAATTTCTTGAGCTATCACATCTCTGAAAGTGTTTACTCTCTACAACTGACTGATAGTTTCAGCGTAGGATTCTAGGTCAGCATTGATTTCTCAGAATTTTATTGACATTTCCATATTGTTTTCTAACCTCAGGAGTTGCTATTGAAAACTATATTTTTTCTGATTACTTTGTGTGTGATCTGTTGTTCTTACGAGTGTAAATGATCTTTATCTTTGTGTTAATTACGGTAAATAATGCTAGGTGCTATAACAAACCCTGAAATCTTAGTGGCTTAATACAGAAAACGTTTATTTTTTTTTCTTTATTCTATTGTCTGATGAGTGTGTGTATAGAGATGTATTTTGTTTCATGCAAGATCCAAGCTGTTTGTCTTACTGATTCCTCCCCTAGGCTCTTTAAGGTCTCTCCAGTTCAGCTAAGGATGGGGAAAGAGAGCAAGGCTTATTAGAAGTCAAAGATTTTCACAGGGTAGACTTGGAAATCATGTGTATTATTCCTGTTCCCTTTCCATTAGTCTTATTGCCACAGTGCTCTGCATTTGCGAGGGAGATGGTGAAGTTGTATGCTCAGGAAGAAGAGAACAGGATATTTGTGAGTACCAGCAGTCTACTACAGTCCCTGTTCTTCAAAATTCACAGTGATGTGCCTTGTTGTAGGTCTATTTTCCTCCATTGTGCTCAGTGCTTAATGGTCCTTTTCAATTTATAAACTCATGTCCTTTAAAATTTCTATAAAAATTTCCCTTGCATTTTTTTTCTTTTTCAACTTTTACCATTTAGATATTGGATTTTCTTTTTTTTTTTTTAAAGAGAGAGCGAGAGAGTGAGGAAAGAGAGAGAGAGAGAGAGAGAGAGAGAAGTTTTTAATATTTATTTTTTAGTTATCAGCAGACACAACATCTTTGTTTTGTATGTGGTGCTGAGGATCGAACCCGGGCCGCACGCATGCCAGGCGAGCGCGCTACCACTTGAGCCACATCCCCAGCCCCAGATATTGGATTTTCTAAACTGTTTTTTTTTAAAGAGAGAGAGTGAGTTTCAATATTTATTTTTTAGTTTTCGGCGGACACAACATCCTTGTTTGTATGTGGTGCTGAGGATCGAACCCGGGCCGCACGCACGCCAGGCAAGCGTGCTGCCGCTTGAGCCACATCCCCAGCCCCTCTAAACTGTTTTTTAAAAATCTTTTTGTCCTATTTTTCATCTTTTCTACTTTCTAGGCAACTTTCTCACATTTCTTTTCTAACATTTGATGGATGTTCTCATTTCTGCTATCACAGTTTTTATTTCCAAGAGCATTTCCCTTTTCTTTTTCTTTCTTTTCTTTTTTTGTGGGGGTCAGTGTTACTGGGGATTGAACCCAGAGACGCTTTACTACTGAGCTATACCTCCATTCCCTTTATTTATTTTATTTTTAAAAATATTTTTTAGTTGATGTACCTTTATTTTTTATTTATTTATATGTAGTGCTGAGGATCAAACCTGGTGCCTCACACATGCTAGGCAAGTGCTGTGCCACTGAGCCACAACTCCAGCCCCCACCCTTTATTTTTTATTTGAGATGGTCTCCCTAAATTGCTTAGGGCCTTACTAAGTTGCTGAAGCTGATCTTGAATTTGTGACCTCCTTTCTCAGCCTCCAGAGTTGTTGGGATTATAGGCATGTGCCACTGCCTGGCCCCCACTTTCTTTATTTTCTTTATTATTTAGCATCTTGCATTTGTTTGAGGGCTCCATCTCATCTTTCTGAGTATACAGAAATTTTTTTTAACAAAAAGCTTTCTGTAATTCCTGTTGCTATTACTTTTTCTACTTGATCTGATTTCTGTTTTTCATGTTGGAAGAACAGCTTCTCCCCTATCCATACCAAATTTGGGAGGACCAGTCCCTAGAATGAGTCTAGGAGAGAAAGTAAAGCTTTACTGAAATTCATTTTTTTCAGTTGAGTATTTCAACTCATCTTAACCCTATTTCCAGAGATCCTGATACTGCCATTCCTGAGTCTTTGGGGATTTTGTTGTATAATTCAGGTGGTTTTATGGCTTTTCTCCTTTCTCCTTATAATTAAATTTCTCAGGTCTTCAAAATCCTTTCCTATTGCCCTTCTGTTTTTTAATTTCTAGAATTTTATTATATTATTCTTTTCTTTTTTTGGGTGCGGGGGGTACCAGGGATTGAACTCAAGGGCACTCGACCACTGAGCCACATCCCCAGCTGTATTTTGGATTTTATTTGGAGACAGGGTCTCATTGAGTTGCTTATTAGCACCTTGCTTTTGCTGAGACTGGGTTTGAACTCCCAATCCTCCTGCCTCAGTCTCCCGAGCTGCTAGGATTACAGGCGTGGGCCGCCATGCCTGGCTTTTCTTTTCTCTTTTAGCCTTGTGAGCTTTTTGTCTTAAAAAAAATCTCTGTTCTATTTTATGAAAGTTTAATAGATGCATATGTTAAGTCTGCCTTCTTTATCTGGAACTGCAAAGTAGCATCTTTTAAATTTGGTTTGAAACCACTGATGAGGAAGAATATGTATTAGTTATCCAGGGCTGCTGTAACAAAGTATCACTAACTGGGTGGCTTTTAAAAAATTAAATGTATCCTCACAATTTTGGAGACTAGAAGTCCAATATAAAGGTGTAAGTGGTTGCTTCCTTCTGGAGACTCTGTGGGAGAAATCTGTTCTCTGCCTTTCCTTGCTTCTGGGGGTTGCCAACAATCCTTTCTGTTTCTTTCTTTCTTTCTTTTTTTTTAAGAGAGAGAGAGAGAGAGAGAATTTTAATATTTATTTTTTAGCTTTTGGCAGACACAACATTTTTGTTTGTATGTGGTGCTGAGGATCAAACCTGGGCCGCACGCATGCCAGGCGAGCGTGCTACCGCTTGAGCCACATCCCCAGCCCCGACAATCCTTTCTGTTTCTTGGCTTGTAGATGTGTCATTTCATCTTCATATGATGTTTTCCTTTGTGTTTGTGCCTTCTCATATCATTAGCAATCACTGGATTTAGGACCACCCTAATCCAATGTGACTTAATCTTAACTTGATTATATCTATTTAGTACTTCAAAGTATCTTTTAGGGATATGTAATTTAGCCCACAAAACTAGCAAATTTTCTTTTCTTTTTTTTGATTTGGGCTCTCACTTTGTTCGCTCAGGTTGGCCTGACTCTGGGACTCAAGCAGTCCTCCTGCCTCAGCCTCTCAACTAGCTGGGACTACCAGTGTGTGCCACCATGCCCAGCTCCTAAACTAGCAGATTTTATATCTGAAAGGATCCATTTATAAAAAGCAGAGAGATGACTAGTTTTTTCTTTCAGGTAACTATTGAAGGTTTTAACCAATATGATTACTTATCACAATTTTTCTAAAAATGTGTGGAATAAGATGTTTAATTATATTAGAGTTATGGGAAAGGAGTTATGTAGTCATCTAAATTGGGAAATGCTGGTTAAAATAACATAGGTTTCACCAGACGCAGTGGTTCACGTCTATAATCCCAGTGGCTTGGGAGGCTGAGACAGGAGGATCACAAGTTCAAGGTCAGTCTCAGCAATGGCAAGGCTCTAAGCAACTAGCGAGACCCTAAATAAATATACAAAATATACTCTAAATAAAATACAAAATAGGGCTTGGGATGTGGCTCAGTGGTTGAGTGCCCCTGAGTTCAATCCCCAGTATCAAAAATAAATAAATGACACAGGTTTCTTTATTGTGGATCTTCTTACAACCTTTATTTGCCAATGTAAACTGTGCAACAGAATGTTTGGTAAATGCTATATATTATAGCACCCCTTGCTCACTTTAAAGATACTCTTCAGTACAGGGAATTTTGGAGAATACATGCTTAAAAATGTGTATTTTACAGATAAGACCCTACTGTCATCTTTGCCTCTGAAGGATAGCACGTTATTACTTTAGTAGGTACACTAGAAGTCTAGCTGAAAACTGGTGACTAGATGGGCTGTGGAGCGGGTGAAATGATTGTTCTCTTTGAGAATGTTCACCAAAAGTGGCTTGTTTTCAACAGTTGTTGATATGATACTCATTAAAACTAAGAAGGGACATTAAAGACATGGTGTGATATGTATTTTAGAAATATCTTACGCATACAACAAGATAATTAGGTTGTGGCTTTTTTTCTTGTGATTGTTCTTTGCTCTTTATTAGTGATTAGTGTAGACCTGCCACCCTAATCCAATGTGACTTAATCTTAACTTGATTATATCTACTTATATCTGCCATCTCTGTCTCAATGACCCATTTTCCCTTATGTTAGAACCAGTATGTGCCTATGAGGAACATTCAGAAAAAAAGAAGACAGTCTTTTGCTAAATATTCAGTGATACTTGGGCTCTGGCCTTTTGAAGTATGTCTTTTGTTCAGAATCATTTTGGGAGGGTACTGGGATTTGAATCCAGGGGTGTTGTACCACTGAGCTATACCCTCAGCTCTTTTTATTTTTATTTTGAAACAGGGTCTCATTAAGTTTTCTAAGCTGGCCTCCAATTTGCAGTTCTCCTGCCTTAAACCTTCTATGTTATCAGGATTATAGGTGTGCACCACTGTACCTATTTCATCCAGAATCATTTAAAATCTGGAGATGTAGAGCCTTGCTTTCTAATATAACCTTTTTGTGATGACAGATTTGTTCTTTATCTGTACTGTTGACCACTTGAAATATGACTACTGTGGCTGAGGAACTGAAATTTTAATTTAATCTAGCCAAATTTTAAATAGCTACTTGTAGCTTCTAACTATTGCATTGGATAATATACGTTTGAAGAATGGTGGTATTTCTCACTCTAGTTCAATGATTCTGAATCATTATTCCCTGCATGCAGAATACACATTTTCTAAGGGATAGAGATATTTCTGTTGGCTCCTGTGACAGTGTTCTTACAGTCTTAAAGAAAAAACCTCCAGGTGGTCTGATCAAAACCCTTCTTAAGTGCCTGCCTCCTCCTTCACCATCTGTCCTGAAGAGTTATTGCTCTAAATGTTCTAATGTTTAAGGTATAAAGAATTCTTACCTGATAGTGTAATAAAATATATTTGAGAGTAAAATTGGTTAAAAGTAGGGCCAAATTTTTAATTTACATTGGAATATGAGTTATATATACTCAGATTACTAGCTACAATTTGCAGTCTTCTCATACTCCTTTTCTGTAAGGTGTTGTAGCATCCAAAGGGGATGTCCTAGTGTTAAATATAAGTAGTTGTTGACTATAGGTAAAAAGACTTGCCATTTGGTTATCATTGCAAAGAAATTATTCTGCCTCCCAAACAGTCATTGCAGCCTCATGGTTCGTTTGTTCTTTCTTTCTTTTTCTTTTTTTTTTAAATTGAACTCATTAATAGGGTCTTTTTCTGATGTTATGCATCTATAAATAGTGTTTTCAGACTTGGCAGTTGATGTGTTAGGGTGGGGGTTGGGGGAAGTGCTGAGATTGATCTTGGGCCTTTCCCCTTCTAGGCAAACAGCCTACCACTGAGCTATATCTCTAGCCCTTATTTTAAAAAATAAGATCCATTTAATTGTTTTATTTATGATATTTCTTTGTATTCTGTTACAGTTGCTTCTGCAAGAAGCATTTGTGGTGGCTTGGTCCTCAAGAAGTTACAAAAAGGTAAAGAATTACACAGCTTTTACAAGACTAAATCTCTTACTGGCGATGAATTTGGTATTTTCTAAAACAGACTTATACTGAAAGAGCTGCCAGATTTAGTAAGTAAAAATTCAGGATGCCCATTTAAATTTGAATTTCTGATGATAATAACTTTTTTTAGTACAATTATGTCTCATGTAAAATTTTAACCTGCAGTATTTTATCTGGCAACTCCATTGAAAGATGATCTATAAAACCATATAGATACAAGAATATTTTACCTGACTACTCTGTATACAGCCTCAGGTAAAAAATTTAGTGAAGTATTTGTTACCATCTAGTTAAACAAAAGAATACATAGAGAATGCTTTTACTGAAAATGATTTTGACTAATATTAATATTGTATTTTACAATATATGCCAAAACTGAAGTGGTTTCGGGGTTTTAGTGACCATTAGTCCTAGTTTTAAGAAAATATGTAGTGTATTAAACTGGAAACAACCAAAAAGCTATACTAGAAAGGTATATGTTATATAATAAATGTTTATGAAGTTTATCACCATTGGGTTGTTTTATTTTTTTAAAATATTTATTTTTTAGTTGTAGTTGGACACATTACCTTTATTTTATTTATTTTTATGTGGTGCTGAGGATCGATCATGCTAGGCAAACACTCTACTGCTGAGCTACAACCCCAGCCCCCACTGGGTTGTTTTAAGTTTCAGGTTTTCTTAGTGTAATTGCAAACTTTGTAAAATGAAAATCAATTTAAAATTTTAATTTATGTCCAGATTTCCAGCAACTCAAGTTGTTGTTTATCTCAAAGTATCTCCCTTCATCTTTGTCATACCAGACAAAAGGAAGAAACTATTTTTGTAATTCAGTTACAAGATGAATACTCTAAAGACACAAATATGTAGGTAATAATTCTACCTTTTGAAACTGCTTCTTTGGAGTAAATTTTAGCTTAAGAATGAGGACTTGAAAAATGCTTGCTTGCTGAATTAAGGGCCATCAGGCCCCTATTGCCTTGCCTTGCCTTGCGTTGGCCCTTGGAATCTAGCTTCCAACTGTTTGTATCTTTAAATTTTTAATAGATCTCAGCCTTTGCCCTGTGATTCCAATTTTGTTTAGGTTCTGGTTTCTTGTACATACACATAAAAATAGTAATTGTGGTGGAAAAGTAATAAAAAATATGAGATTTTTATTTTTATCTTTTGAACAGATAATCTTGAGTTTGAGTAGAATGCTCTTCTTTTAGCAATAATTGCAATGATTTATTGAGTATTCAATATACTTTAGGCCTGGTGTTCATACAGAGGAGTTGTAGCTAGTTTTAATTTTCTATCTTGTGTTCATACTTATCTTTTTTTTTTTTTTTTTTTGGTACTGGGAATTGAACTCAGGAGCACTCAACCACTGAGCCACATCCCCAGCCCTATTTTGTATTTTATTTAGAGACAGGGTTTTACTGAGTTGCTTAGTGCCTGCCTAAGCCACTGCTGAGGCTGGTTTTGAACTCCCGATCTTCCTGCCTCGGCCTCCCAAGCCGCTGGAATTACAGGCATGGGCCATCGCACCCAGGATACTTACAATATCTTAATCATTCTTTTTAACTGCCTCCTAAGTTTATGCCTAAAAGAAAGGGAGAATTCACTTCGTGTTCTGGAGAGTTGCTCTGTTCAGAGACTGTTGGGTGATTCAAATTCATATTCAGGAATTAGGGGTTAACTGCCTCAAAATCATCTAGTTTACTTATTGATTTTTAGATTCTCTTCTTTTTTTTTGGATTACACCCTTGGAATGATGCAAAGAAGGGAAGGATCATTCCTAATTTCACTGTTCTAGTTAACATATATAAAAGTGCTTTGAAAGAAATGAAAATCCATGAAAATAAAAGGGAGTATATTATTACTACTAGGGAGGAGATAGGAGTATTTCCTATAACATAAACCCATACTTAATATGCTTGTACAAGGAGTGGTCAGATTATACATAAGACTGCTTCTTCAATTAATATTTGTGAAAGTGCTTTGAAAGAATGAAAAGCTCATAAGAACAAGGGAATGGTTTTTATTATTGTTATTACTAGGGAGGAAGTATTGAGTATCATTTATGGGATAATCACCTGTTTATCATGCTAATACAAATTTTAAACGTGTCACGGTGACTTCGTTTTAATTTAACTATTATTTTAAAAGCTCAAAGCAATTTTGTTTAGTCTATTTTTATATCCCTGTGATAAAGAATAGGTGACTCTGTACAAAAATGTATTGCACATAAAGTACATAGTAAAAATCGAGTCTTTTGTTCATGGCCAATCACCTCTAATAGCCAACTGCAGCCTAAGTCTTCTCTTCAGCTGTTAGGGCTCATAATACTAACTTCCACTCCATAAAGCTGTTTATTCATACCAATTAGTGAGATGAATTACTCAGTGAAGCTCACAAAGGAAATTGGCTAAGAATCCCTTAACTCCCTCTTATGCACCATTAATTATGCCCTTATTACTATTATTATTTATTTAGCATTCCTCTAATACTGTTATCAAACTGCTTTAAATTGGTCCATCACAGTTTATTCAGCTTCATCTGGCATCTCATTCATTAATCATCAAATTTCCAGAAGCTAAAGAATTATTTATTGGGCTGGGATTGTGGCTCAGCGGTAGAGTGCTTGCCTAGCACGGGCAGGGCCCAAGTTCGATCCTCAGCACCACATAAAAATAAAGGTATTGTGTTGTGTCCATCTACACCTAAAAAATAAATATTAAAAAAGAATTATTTATCTATACAAAATTAATATTATGCCTCTGAATTCAGTATATATTGTCATCTTTATTGATTTATCTCAGTGCCTAAAGTAAGGTCACTTCTCTTTGGGGGAACTAGACTTTTATAGAGCCATCCAGCTTCAGTTTTCTTTGTTCTTAAATCTATTCTATCAGTATGGTAGCAGGGTACTTTTTCTCTAGATCAGGAATATTTTAGATCATCTCCTATTCAAAAAAGTCATGTTTTGGGACATTTTAATGCTGAATTAATAAGCAATAACCCAGTATTCTCTCTAGTTTCCTAGCCTTTCTAATGATTTGTGTTTTTTTTTTTCCCCTTTCTTTTCTGGTCCCTAACTATTCATACATTGATTCAGTAAACTTAACATCTGCTTTGCCACAGAGGTCATGGGAAGGAGAGGCAGCTCTGCAAATGAAATGTAGTATGGTAGGGACTCTAATAGAGATATGTTCAAGGTGCTTCTTTTGGTAACTTGGAGGGTAGTCCCCAAAGTTCAGTCACTAGTAATGTTTTTCTTCCTTTGTTATGCATCATTCTTTAAGTTCAGACAGTTTTTCTGCTTTTAAACTTTATCATTTCTGGGCTGGGATGTGGCTGAAGCCGTAGCGCGCTCGCCTGGCATGCGTGCAGCCCGGGTTCGATCCTCAGCACCACATACAAACAAAGATGTTGTGTCCGCCGAAAGCTAATAAAGAAGTATTAAAAAATTTAAAAAAAAATCCACTTAAAAAAAAAAAAACTTTATCATTTCTATGCTGATGAGACTTATTTTTCCTTCTCTATTACAAATGTATCTCCTAAACTCCAGTGGAATGGCTTTGTCAGTAATACTATTCTATTTATGAGTTCCTCTGTAATATGTGTGACTAAAATGGGGTTCATATTCTGGAAACTGACTTGTATTGCTTGTTCCACTCCTTCTAGTAATATAACACTCTTATATTCTTTAGGATTAGAAATCTTGGCTTTTTGAGGGGCAGGGTTTTCTCTTCTTTTCTGTGTTATCTTTTTTTTTAATATTTATTTTTTAGTTTTATATGGACACAATATCTTTATTTATTTTTATGTGGTGCTGAGGATCGAACCCAGTGCCTCATGCATGCCAGGCGAGCACGCTATCACTTGAGCCACATCCCGAGCCCCTTTCCTATATTATCTAATTGAATTTTTTGTTAATTTTGCCTTTTATAATACAGGATTATTACTTATTAATTTTAAAATAGCTTCATATTCCTTCTATAATGATGTCTGATTTGCTTATTAGAATAAAAAAACCTCAGACCATATTTGGTGCCTTCTGTCAATGAGAATAATCCCCTTTGTAGAATGATGCCCATTAAGAGAGATAAATTCTTGTGTGTTTAAAATATCTCATTACATTTAAATATATGCAATACCATTATACATTGTATACTTGTCCACTTATTTATAATTCCACTTATGCATGTATTATTCACTGTGTAGAACTACTTGTCTCACAAATATCTACTTAGTGAAACATAATTGGTCCTGTTCGTCCCTCTTGCTCAAATCTGGAGACTACTTTTTATTATACCCTTATGAAGTGAAGATAAAAAGAGGAGAGATGAAATAAGGGAATATGGGTGAAATGGTGGAAAATTCATATTCATAGGTATTTATTTCTTTAGTATTAATGGGCATTGAATCCAGGGTTTCATGCACGATAGGCAAGCACTCTTCTACTGAGCTGTACCCCTACCCCTTTTTATTCTTTGTAAAATTTTTTATTTGTAGATGGACACAATACCTTTATTTTGTTTATTTATTTATTTTTTAAATGTGGCATTGAGGATCGAACCCAGTGCCTCATGCATACTAGGCAAGTGTTCTACCACTGAGCCACAAACCCAGCCCCCTTTTTATTCTTATGTTATTTTAAGGATCTTGCTAAGTTGCCCAGGCTGGCCTTGAACTTGCAATCTTCCTGCCTCAGACTTCTGAATAACTGCGATTACAGGTGTATACCACTGCACCTGGCAGTCTCTATTCATTTTGCTGTTTTTTTCCTATCTCTTTTATTTATATTATATTTATTTATTTACCTATATTTTGAAAATAAATTTTTATTCCCTTGTTTACTTTTTATTTTATTTGGGGGATTGAACCCAGAGCCTTGTGCATGCCTAGACAAGTGCTCTACCACTTAGTACATACTCAGCTCTCCCATGTTTGTTGATGTAATTTAATTTTATACAGTTTGGCAT